ACGGCCAGTTTCTTCTTACAACTTCCTCTAATTTTTGTTTCAGCTGATACCATAAAAGTAAGCCAATAATATTGTGCCTAAAACAACTCCCCTACTAAGAAAGAGGTGGAAAGAGATGTTGAGATTATCTAGCCCACAGATTTCTGAAGTTCTACTGCATGGAAGGACCTGGGTAGATTTGCATTCAGTTTAAGGCAGAGAATTTATCTTGCTCTAAATTGTAACCACCCAGCAATCCGAAGCCAGGAAACCCATTCTGAAGTGTCCATCACTTGAAGCGTTCATCAGTTGTCTACAAGAGGATATTATTTTTTGTAGTTGAGTTTCTGAAGGTTAAAAATATATTACCAGAACAGGCTCAGTAGCATACATACAGCATGATTTTTTTAATATACTTATTTTAGAACAGCAAATGAGCTGCTGTTGACTATGATGTGAACTCTACTTTTCTTCAAATCACATATGAATATGAGCTTTCCCAGCTGTTTTTGTTTTGTTTGTTTGTTTGCTTGCTTTTAACAGAATCACACTTAAGTCTGAATTTCCCAACGTTTGTTTTAGATCTCACGAAGTATTCGCTGCTGATAGTTTATCTGACAGATCATGCAGTTCTATTAAGCATTCTTTTTACACTGTTCCTTGCTCTGTTTTTCCAAGTTCCATGTTAAAAGTGAATATATTTAAACTATATATAATATATATGTGTGTGTGCATATATATGATAGATACTTGTGTATATTTGCTTGACATTATGAAGCAGATGAAACTATGTGACAGTTAAAGCATATTTTGAAAACTGGTATGTGTTTTTTATAGATAAATCAAGCATATCTCTGTGCTCCAAAATATACTAACATGTAGCTGAAAAGGAGAAGGAAGAGAAAATATGGATAGACTATTCAGATATGTGTTGTATATATAAATTTCATTGCCATCTCTTCAAAGGAGTTAAAAGATCTGTACAGACTATCCCAGAGCATTGTGTTCCTAGGACTATAAAAATATCAGAGTTAAATGTAAGAAAGAACTCACTGGTATTTTTGAACTAGCTCTTTTGCAATTAAAAGTACAATTCACGTCAGAGAAATATGTTCCTTAATCATTTCATCTCCTCTAATAACCCTCCTTTCTCACCCTGTTAATAGTTTGATTTTTTTTTTTTTCCCAAGTAAGACACAGTAAAAGATGCATAAAATGAAACCCATATTGCAGCCCTCAAGGAAGAAGCACCAAAGATATCAAAGTGCCTGTTGCCATCTGTGGTAATTCTGCTGTTTACAGCTGATATGATCATTTGAAGCCTTATCTGTAAACAGTATAATGACATGGTGATTAAGCAATAGGGATATTAAAGTTCAGCAGACTTATTTGAATGTGATCTGCATGAGAGAGCTTATACTACCTTTGATTCCTAAAAACTGGCTTATAAGATGATAAGCTTAGTGACAAACTAGTTACACTCCATCACTGTATAAAAGTGGATGCCTATTGTCTGTTTCTTCTCATTCACAGTAATGCCAGTGATATGATGTATGCTCTCTCTGCCTAACATTTTTCTAAAAACTCATTATTCTACAGGGGAAACCATACCATCTCATGTTATAGAAGACTCTGAATATGAAGAGAAGTATTATTTAATTTGCCAGATAAACAGCTTAACTTGCAAGAAAGAGCAGAAGTGGAAATAAGATAAGAAAGGGCAGTAAAGGGTCCTGCCTGCTCCTACAGTTATGATAAATAGTTACAAGATGCTCATCCAAAATCACTAACAAAACCTGCAAGTATTTTAAACGATCTTGCCAATTATGGGTGTGCAGCCTAGGTCACAAAATGCTGGTCATATATTTATCACACATAAATCGTCAAAGTGCCATTTGCACTGGGGATACACATATTTAAAACACCACAAAGTGTTGCTCTAAAACTTGAAATTTTTTTTTTTGAGAAAATCTCAATTTTCCTTACATTCATTAAAAAAATAGTAATTTTCTTAAAACACATATCTTTTTGGTATGTCAAACAGTGCTAGCAAAATATAGAAAATATCTGAGCATATGGTCATTTCCTATAAAACTTTCTATTTCAACAAAGCATTTTAAGTTTTCTGAAATTGTCTGTATTACTTGTTGACCTCTTGGCTGGTTAATGTCTTTGGCTCTAGTGTTTTTCCTTAATGAGTCAAATCCCATGAATTTTTGAAACTGGTATTTAAATATCAGTCAATGACTCAACTTTTTTTTTTTTTCCTACAATCCTCTTTACAGACCTTTATTTTTTTTTGTTCCAGTTTCTCAAAGTACAGATAGAGCATTGAATAACCTCTAAGAGTAACACACTTGCTATAAAACTGGAATATATCCAGAAGCAGGCAAATAGGGAAAGATAGGTGTATTACTTGACTTATGCTTCTGTATAAGCAAGACATTTTTTTCTCACTGCCTATGATAAGAGACAGAAGTGTTGTTGCCAACAGGAGTGTTCCCAGAAATTAGCAGTGTGTGTGGCCAGATCTGCAGCTCCAGCTGCTGCTGTGCAACTTGTCCTGCTTGTGAATAAAGGAACTCAGCTGAACTGAAAGACTGGAAAAAAAAAGGACATTTCAGGCAGTGATTTTGTCATGCTGTGCTTCATAGTATGTCTAATGGAAGGAAAGCATGTAACTTCCACGTTGGTTATCAACATGCACCTCAGAGGAATACTGCATTACACATCAGTGCCTGAATGGAGTGTTCATACTGCATTTCACTGGTATCACGTCTGTATGATTACAAATATTTAAGCTTCTGCAACTCATTTTCCATAATTTACTTTTCTCTCTCTGCACACACCCTTATAAACAGGTTTTCTTTTGCTATTATCAGCTATTTGTGGATTTATACATGAGAAGCCCCATTGCTACAACTTATCTGGTTTTAGTTATGTAACTGGCAAGGATTATGAAGGTAGAGGTGGCAGATGCATCCAGTGTCAGCATTATCACATTATCTGACAGACTCCTAAGCAGAGACAAATTATCTGATCAGAAATATGAGTGAGAATACTCCTCATGTTCTTCTGAGATTTCAGAAATACTTTAGTGATTTTGGTTTAAATTCAGCACCTGAAAATGGCTGGCTGGAATGAGAAAGTACTGTGGTAAGGAGGAAGATAAACTTTTGGCAGTGATCCTGCTGCTGTAATTTAGCACAGATTTAAGTGACAAGGTCTCAGCCAAATGACAGAAACATTTTTGATATTTTCTTCAAAATGTCATCTCATAAATTCAGTGTAAGAATAGACCAGCAATTTCCCCCTCCCCAAAAAATAAATTAAGGAATTGATAAAATATTCGCCAGTTATGTCCTTTTCTTTTTGATCAACTGTGACTCTGTTCAGATGAATACCAGAAATGAAACCCTTTTTGAAATTCTTGTTTCTTGTCACTGCTATAAAAAATCAGGTAGGATTTGTAATTATTTTTTTTCTTAAACACCGTAAATCTCTTTCTCTTTAAAATAGAATTTTATATTTCAACACAAAAGAGCCTGGTGGAAGACAAAACTTGCCAAAGTAAAGTCCTATGCCATCAGACTAAAAAAAAAGCATATCTTCTTTTTGTAAGCCTCAGTTTTGGAGTGTGAGTTGGGTTGTTTTTTTTTAAAGTTGTGCTATAACTCAGGAAGCCTAGCTCAAATGTCTGGCAATGGAATTTATTCACTGGCCCATGTGAAATTACTCATGGTGCACAGGCAGGTAGGGGGGAATTTCAACAGAAACTAAAAGATACCCAGATTATTAATAATGCATTTTTCACCTCTTTCTCTGAGGACTGGCAGAGCCATAGCTGTCTGTATACCTGAGCAAGCTGTGTAGGTGCCAAAAGCACAGCAAACTTCAGAAGATTGAGAAAGGATGCAGTCATATTTAACACTGCTTCCTGGATATATATTTCCCCCTGAAGAGCTTTCAAGCTGTCAATATCCTTCTAAAAATAAACAAACCTATGAGCAATGCAGCAATGCCTTTATGCAATGCAGCTGGTGGTGAGAATGAGTGCCCAAACACAAATGAACCCCCTAAGCTACTGACACATTGTACTTCTGAACTGGTGAGAGGAGACACTTCCTTCCCCCCTATTTTTGACCCACGGGCAAAAAGAATCAAGTGTACTATTTTATAAGCAGAAGTGACACTTCAAAGTATTGTGGGCAAAGCCCCAGCTCCTGAAACAAATAGCTAAGATGAAAGACTATCAAATTAATTAAAACAGTGAGAAAACAAAGTCTAATTTGGGCTGAAATTAATGTTGCATGTGGCAGATGAGATAAATCAGGATGACACAGAAAGCACTTGTTACCAGGCAGACAATGCCTTCTTCGACTTCAAAACTCTTCAACTCCATTTTAAAACAGAAAATATAACTTAGCAGGACCAGCTCCTGCAGAAGTGGGTATATATATGATGCATAATTGCTGGAGCAGTGACATTACTTTTCCTATCTGTATATGTGTTATAAAGCTGCCAAAAACTTTATGGAAAAGTCATACCAAAGTTGGTGTGCAAATGAGGTGAGAGATCTTTGACATCTTAGATTGCAGAGAAGAACAAAATGACTCTCTCTGTCTATTCCTTCCCCCTGCTTTTCCCAGAGGTAAAAGTCACCCCTTTTCTCTTCCAAGTTCTTCCTAAAAGATTCTCTATTCAAACAACTAATCTTAACCTCTCTGAATTTTTCACTTTTAAAACATTTCATACAAGAAAGTAGTCCACTACAGGATTATTTTTTTTATTATCATTTCATTTATTTATTCATTTATTCGTTTGCTTATTTATTTATTTATTTTTGTCTTTCATGCTGTAAAGTGGAGCATTGTGTTACTAGTCCACAGAAGAACCAATGCCTCTGAATTTATTTCAGGCTCTGCCTTTAAATTACATTTTATTTTTCGGAACTGAAGAATGCATAAGTAATACCAAACAAGTTTCCTGTTCTAGGTAGCTCATTGTAGTCTCTCTATGTAGGAGGCTACCCCTTGAATGAACTTGCAGAGTCAGCCCATCTGTCTCAGTTACTTTGCAAAAGATGCTGGCTTTCATCTCAGATGAATTCTACATTGCTGGCTTTAAGCTACAGGTAACGGTTCTAGCTAGAGGTGTACATTTTAGGATAATTATTCTTGTCATTGTTCAACCACCATTCCTTCAACAGCAGTGATCAGAGCTGCTTTTACATTATGAGTATAACCAGGAGTTTAATTTCTAGTGTGTGTAAGTTTATTATTGCATTTAAAGACCACATAAATCTTGTCTACAGAGCAGAAATTGTGTAAACCTTAAATATTTATTTGAAATTTATTAATGTAAATTCATTTTCTCATCTCTGCCCTTGTCCTTCCTCTTCTTCATTAGTGTTATTCAAGTGACCTCAGTTGGGCCTTATTTCTAGAACAGGATGCGAATGACAGTCAGGATTTTTCCACTTCTTATGCAGGTGGATGAATCACTTCTAGAAGCAGAAGAAACAAAAGGACAGCAAATCTTAAGATTCGATCCATTCCATGAATATTTTTCCCAAGCAGAAATGTAAATATTTTGTTTCTAGCAGATAAAAGTAAGTAAACTCAGAGACAAAGCTGAGGAAGAAAGCAAAGCAAAATAACAAGTAGAAATCCAAAGGAAGACAAGAGTGTGGTTATACAAAATACAAGGAATTCATGAAAACAAGTATTTGTACCAGCTACCAGTTGAAGCAGCCTCTAGGAAAATTAATTTTCATGTTACTGGCATATGCAGGTTTGTATATGCATAACTGAAAGGTCTGATAAAAGTTTGATTGCTTAGATCCTAGTGGACAGATGTGGTTGTGGAATTGTTAGTTTTAACTTTTTCATTCAATACTTCTTGATTCTGTGCCCTGGCCAGCCCTACTTAAAACACATTTCTGACTGTGAATTTCATCTTCACATAACTTTGAAATAAATTCTATTGAAACATACTGAAATTATTATATTACTGGCAGCATTTTATAAATCATGCAATAAACTGTGTCGTTCATGGGCTGCAAGTAAAGTGTATGTAAAATTGCACTGCAGATTTATGGTTGCATTTGTCTGAATTTTTAAAGACAATTTCTTTTGTCTTTAAAAAAAACAAAGGCATTGTTAATTGCTGGTCTTCAGTCATCTGTATGATGGGCTCTCAGAAATTTTAATCATGAAAACAAGTAAAACCATTCCTCTTCACTTCTCCTTTCAATATTTGGATACAAAATGTTACACAGAGTTTCATATCTATACATGATTATTCTTTTGTGACAGCCTGGCTGTTCAATTATTTAAAAACATGCCTGTAAAACTGTGATTTAATGATAACATAGTTTCCTTCTTTCCAGGAGGACAGTTGTCTTAGTGATGGAAGATTAAATAAGAAGCAGTCTGTGCTGTAAATGGACCATAGCCTTTGAATCTTTCATGTAGCTGCTAGGATATATATCACATCTTAAAGGACTGAAGGACTGAACAGACGTATTGTACCAATTCAAAGGGTTTAATTATGTGCTTGGTTTTTAGAGATAATTCAATAATATATTATAAAACATATTTTAGCAAGAAAAGCACTTGGCAGTAGCTCCAATTGGTTTAAATTGTAAATATTTGATAGACCATCTGTTGGTGACACCACAGAAGAAAAATTGCTGCAGCATTTCAACTCTGTGGATTCTCGAACAGTAAAGCAGAGACACTTGCTTCAGACCTGAAAGTCAGGCAAAGGTTGAACTTGAATCTGAATCTCTCAAGCCACAAGCTATAACAAGATATAAAAAGCTGGAGTTTTCTCAACAATTGTGGCACAATTACACAAAATGGGCAGGGTGTTTTATACACTATAGTAACTTTTGGCTTAAGCTTAGTATGGAATGCATGGACTATTGGGATCTACATCTGTGAATATCTTGTTAGGATACTCTACATGACGAAACTAAGAATGTATTCTAAAAAAGAAAGTAACTAAAAAAAAACAACCCCAAACCAAAAACAACAACAAAAAACCCACCCAAAACAAAAAACAAAACAACAACAACAAAAAAAACCTCAAACACAAACAAACAAAATTAAAAAAATAATACACACACAAACATAATTCATATGACCTGAAAAATTCTGAACTGACAAGAGTGCCAGCATGTTTGTTTCTATTTTGGACTAACCAGAACAATACCTCTATGGGAATTTTTCTGCAGAAGTCCAGTCTCCAAATTCCATGGCAGAAGGTACATTACTACTTTACTATGCAGTGTAAAAAGCCTGCTTTAAAGTTCCTCACTGAGTCTGGTGACTTGCTGCATTACATTTAAGCTCTTCATTCTTGCTTGCCAAGCTCAGCAAAATTCCACAGTATCACCTACAACTCTGCTTCAGTTTAATTTTACACCCACTCATTTCCTGCCTTCATTTACTCTTAAGTTTCACTGTTCATATCCCTTCTTTACCTAGACTCTCATTTTAGCTTAGCTTATTTGTGAATCATTCCTCATAGGCTATGTGTACTCTATTATTTTTTATGTGTGCAGTTGAACTGATATGAATTCCAGTGTACTGTACTGTCCTCTGGGAAGGGAATCTATCTTCTGGAAGCTGTAAAATGCAATGAACCCATACAATTGTACCACAAGTGAGGACTAATACTAAAGAAATAAGAGAGGATAATTTTAAAATAGCACTGTGTTGGAACTAGAAGACTAATATCCAAACTGTATAGCTGATTGAAACAAGTTAACGGCATTCAACATTAGGTCCATCTTAGTCTTCTTCCTCCCCTTCAGATTTATAAGTGTATTTGGGCTTGTATCTAGGCATTATGATTTGCAGTCATTCCTGTTTGAGAAGAAGCAAAATGCCTGTAGCAAGTGCTGAAGAAGGCAAAATGTACGCTCTAGCAATTCCAGGTAAGAAACCAAGTGGGCTTAGTTTTCACCTTTGTTTCAGGTGCTGGCTTACTTCTTTATGGCTAGGTAGAGACTTATTCTCTATTCATTTCTGCTTAAATCTCCTCCAGGGAGAAGGGAAAATGTGCTGGTCTGGCAGGTATAAACCCCTAACAGCTATGTCAGGCATGATTTCTGCAATCCATTTGTTAAAGGCTTCATGTTTTAGTCTCTAGTCAATTAACCTGTCTGCTTCTCCTTAATATAAACACTGTGACCTTCCCCAGACTCTTCATATCTAGAGACCATTTAAATCTGGTTACTTTGTCCTTAGAAAGAGAAAGATCAGCATAAAATATCTAGAGCTTTCTAACTATTTATTTATCATACCCAAAATTCACTGAATAGGCACAAATCAGATCTTTCCACTAGAATGAAAATAGAGAAGAGACAATATTCCTTTCATAAGAAGCAGGCTTTAAAACTCTCACATAAGTATATTGATAACTTATTATTGCATTTGGAGCACTGTGATTAACCAGCTGGGTTTTTCTTTTCCTTTTTTTTTTCCTTTTCCCTTTTTTCTTCTTTCTTTTTCTTTTTTCCCTTCTTCTTTTTTCTATGTTGGAAAAACAAAACCAGACAAACATTGGTTAATCTGCTTGAAGCTAACACTGAGCAATTGTTCTCAAGTGTTTGCAACTGAACAAAGTTTCAAATGTGCTGAATGCCAGTTCACCACCTGTTCATTTGTAGAGTAGGAGGACTAAGGAGGACTAACACCTGATTAGCAGGAGTGCACAGGTATAGCATGAATCTGTATTTACCCTTTGTAAGCCAGCTGAAAGAACAGTCCATTTAACTATTTAGAAACTGAGAAGGATGTGAACTAGTTTGTGGACCATATTGAAATTATTCCTGTTTTTACTGTCTTTCATGTATAATTTAGCAGCTGTCATGATTATATCTGAATTAGAATTTTGAAGGGATCGTTAATTTTCTCCTTCTATAGCATGGATATTCTTCCACTTCCACCAATAGTTCATACACACTATTTTTGGTAGTTCATGTTTAGGGTTTGTTTATTAAAGTAGTTCAAAGTTGAGAGAACATATGTCTTTCACTCCAATTTTAGCTGTTGTGCCTATGATTTCTGGTCCCAACATGACAGCAGGGAAAATTGTCAATAGCAAACTGACTCCTATGAGTTAAGGAGCTGATGCTTATATGTGGGTATTTTCTTTTTTTTTTTTTTCTTTCCCAAACATGAGTCAGATCTGAAAACAAGAAAAACACACACACACACACAAAAGTCCCTTAAAAGGCATATACTTCAGTTTTATTCCCAGTGGTGATCACATAAAACACCTATCTGGCCCCTGAGCTCAGCTGCATATGTCACTGGGATGCTGAGACATCTCCCAGTGTGGATGAAGGCCAGGGGCTGTGAGATGGAGCAGACCTCTCCTCTGCCTATGAGTAAGGAAACCTGAGGCTGCAGCAACCACAATCACAGCTGCTACCACGCAGCCGCCACAGCCAGGGACCCAGTTTGATGGTAACTAGTACAAATTACCAGCAGTGAATCAATAACCTGCAGACAAGTAATTTCCAAGCTTCTCATCCTCCTGAGATGCTTTGCTGTGGGTTTTTTTACACAAACATGTCTAGTCTCAATGTGTCAGATACATATAACCAAATGCTGTTAAAATACGGAACTGGTTACTAGTTGTCTACTTTGATGCAATTTGCATTGTTGTGACAAGTGCCAAAAATTAAAGAGCATGAAAGCAGCAGATTTTCCCTGCCCATCTAGAGTAGCAGAAGGATTTGTCCCTCAACTTATTCATCACTAACTGCTTGAGAAGGCTCAGCAGGCCAGGGAAAAGATACCTTAATACAGCATTCTTGCACATTTTGAAACTGGTGAAGCCCATAGCCCAACTTCCCCATGTGTTAAAGAGCTGACAGCTATCAGCAGGAGAGATGGCAAGTCAGTTTTGAATAAAAGAGAAAGGTAGGTAGCAAGGGATCAGGTGGAAATAGGAGTTTGGAAGGCAATAACAAAATTATTTGTTCCATGAAAAAGATGCTGGATCAGACTGACACAGCTGTCGTTTGGGATGCATGGATGTAAGTGTGTACTTCTTGCAAGGAAAAAAAACATTTCCTCAGCCTATCATCCAGATCTAAATAAATATTGCTTCTCAACTTTAGATATTTATCTCAAGTGGCAGTTTGGGTGACCTGATAAATCAGAACTTGATTTCTTTATGATGAGCATTTTGGAAAACCCAAGTTCCATTTTCTAAGGAAAGAAAATAGGGATTGGACTTCTGGTCTCAGTTATACTTAAAAATGGGCTTTTGCTTTGTTAGTGTCATAAGCACTTGTGGTGCTTCCATAATCCTGGCTCTGTGAACCTCAAATTACTTTTCTAATTTACTCTCAGATGAAGAGCTGCGGCTGTGGTTCAGAACCACTCTTCCAGCACTACGGGCTAAATACCTACAGAGACAGTGCAGGACTTCCTAACGGCCCTTCAAGTGTGAGAAGCTGTCCGATAGGATGAAGTCAGACTGTCATAAATAGATGCTGAGTGCTGTAATGTGACAGATCAGGTCAAACATTTTTATTTTGTCAGTTTGAATGATATTGCAGACCTGAAGGCTTCCGACTGGCTGAGTTTTAATCACTGAGGTAATCTTCCGTGTGCGTTTCTTTGCAACACTGCGTTGGAAATTGCATGGCACTGAGCACAGGCTGTTACCAATTCCATTTATGAGAAAAACCTCTGCCTAATTTTAGTGCATAGTGGCTTACCAGAGACATGAGATGTAAGTTTGACTTCAGATTCATGCCATGTGCTGAAATCACTAAGCCTTGGGAATTAGGCAAATTCAGTGAGGTTTAAGGACTCAGCTTGTGGCTGACACTTGAATGGAACACACAAGCAGAGTTATACTCCCTGAATTTTGGATATAGCAAGGAGGATTGTGAAAGTTTCCTTGCCATGAGGGTGTAGGGTAGTCAGTGACTGCACTATTGTACTAGTTATCTCACTGTGTGAGGAGGACTAATAAGGGCACAGCAATTATGAAAACACAAGGGTGAAGTACCTAAGTACACTCCTGAGTCTAAAGTGTGGGATACTTTGTGGCCCATGGCAGGATCAATCTTCTAATGCTCACTGAATACTAAATTTAAATGAGCAGGAGTTATTCTTCAGAAAGTCTTCTTTTCAGATTGCTAAAATACATTGTTTGGAGTGGTCTTAATAGAGTCAGAAAATAGTTCAGTTGCTAAATTAACATTATGACTCAGTACATTACCTCAGACACTGACATGATAGGAATAAGAGAAGGAAGTACTTTGACGCATGATATGGAGTTGCACTAAGAAGTACAAGAGATCAATGGACTCAGAAGACATAAACTTACGTGTTTGCTTTTAAAACCTTGTGAGATCTGAAGAGGAAAAATGTTTTGGTTGTTGTTCTTTACTGACACTCTTGTCTATTTTATTTTGGAAAAGGGGCTTGTGAGAACAGATGTGTTTCCAAACAATCTTTTTTTTTGCCAGACAGGGTAGGCAATGTTACAGAATGGTGAACATCCAAGCAGGCTAACACCAGAGTCAAATAATCTAAGGTTCACTGAAGTCTCTATACTCTCATGTCAGGAAAGATTTTGTGTGCCTGTGCCACAGTGTGCAAATGTGGCCAAGTGACCACAATAAAACAGATCTGTGGCTTAAAGTTGGGTCTCATGTCTTATTACCAAATTCAATATCATTCCACAAACTCAAGTGGATTCAACAAGTATTGACGTTTTCCTTCAAGCCTTTGGAACTCATGATAAAATCAAAGCTTATGCAATTTTGATGGCTGGTAAGTGGTCCATAAAATGTCAGTGAATTGCAGGCCACCATAAACTTCTTTTAACACTTATTTTCATTCTAATTTACATCAATTTCTGTGAGCACTGAGACTACTATTATCAGGCTAAGACAAGACCGATGGTCTCAAACTTTGACAGGTCAATTTCTGCCTTAAAAACAGTCAGCAGGTCTCTTTTGTTTGTCCTTTTCTGCCAAAAAGCAATTTTAATTCCTCATGGGGGACACCAAGATTTGTCAGAGCTCTTTATTCCAATCTCCTAACTTTAATGCAAGAATTAGTGTTGTGGTTTAAGCATTGTCAGACAGTAATAACTGAAAATAATAGAAAATTATCTTCTCCATGGTTTACACACCCTGAAAGTCTCTGTGAGTAGACAGGGAACCAGACTACTCATGTTTCCAGTGACTCTCCAGGATAAATAGCTTCACTTATAATATTGGATCATTTTTAAAATCAAGTGAAGGTTTTTCCATTTCTAATTACAATGGTCTAAACGATGTTTACCATTTGCTGTCATCCAGTATTAGGCAAACAGTTTAAAATATGCAGCCAGCTCAGTAAGTTTACAAAGCACTTTTTCATGTTTGGAAACATTGGATTGAGCATATAGGGCTGTAAAATGGCTGTATGGCAGTAGGACTAAAAGGAGCTGTGGGAGTTGCTACATTCAGCTGTGGTGAAGCTATTCCTTGGCAACTAAAAAAAAATAATAATGAAAAAAGGAAAAAATATCATAACCACAGAAAACCCATAGTGTGGGACACGGGCCAACACTGGAAATATAGACACAAACCAGAGTGGGGAAAAGACAACCAGTGGTGAGGAAATTGAATGCCTGGAAGAAGGCACCTCAGCCAAAGGAGGGGATTTGCTAGTGGTTATATGGAGACCTTCAGGCTGAAGTTCTCAAAAGAGACATTCAGCCAAGAAGTGACTGTCCAACTCGCTGCCTTCCCACCTAGGCAGTGTCTGGGTTTCTTTCATATGAGAAGTTAAGTGTTCGCTGGTAGTGTAAAGAATATTTTTCCAGACAGCTGGAAATGCCAGGTCTGGTCCCTGAGTGGTTCTAAGAACTGTCAGCAGAAAGGCCCCTTCTGACCTGCAGACCTGTGCTTACACTGTAGGTGAACCTAGGGTCTTTTTTCCTTTATTCTGTCTCATTCCACTGAATGAATATTAGAGCCATCTAAAGTCTGGCTGTTCTCGAAGGTCATACACAGGAATGCTCCTTCAAAGAGCTCCCAAAGCAGCCAGAGAAAGAATGGGTATAATTTCTGAAGCGCTTCTGCTTTCTACCATAGGACATGCCTTTATTTGTAGGATTTTCTCCCTGATTTTCCTAAGTTTTTTTTTATTATTATTATTGCTTGTTATACTTTAGATTTTTTTCCCCTTTTCTCTTTTAAATAAACAATTTGGCAGTTCATTAAAAGAATACAGAAATGCTCAGATGCCCTCATATCTCCTAAGAATTTGCCACCTTCTTAGAAGTAGTCTTTGGATACCAGAGAGTTATGTCTAAAAGCAAAATAGGGTTTTGTTTGGCTTGGGTTTATACCTTGTACACTCAAGTGCATGGTGAAGTACCTTTACCAAGGGTTCCTTCAAACTTTTGCGAAGTAATGAGGAGAAAAAGATGGAAAGGAAAAAAAAAAGAAAAAAAAGCACAACCAGAATTTGGAGAAAATTGTCCTAATTATCAGTTGATCAATGTTTGCGTCTGCTTTTGTCACAAAGAGGACAACAGAAAAATTGACCACTGACAATCTGGACGAAATGTTTGAACACACTCTGAAAAGCCCAGCACAATTCTTTTATGATGCTTTTACCTCTGTATTTTTCTGTCATTTCTGGTATCTGCAGGCATCATAAAAGCCCTAGGACCCCTTCATTTCTTGTTCCAGTATTATTGTATTCTGTAATTCACCAGTATTAATACTCTGAAACTGGCAGTGAGCAGAGACATACATTTGATGTTTTAGAAATAAATGAAATGTCACTTACATTGCAGAACAATGTGGCATTTAATGATTTAATGGGACTATGCAAAGTTTATTTGCATTATTATTCTACTGTAATGATTTTTCATGGGAGTCAAAGCTGCCAAAAATATCACTGAATGTTAATTCAGATGAACTTTAAAGGCAGCCACATAGGGAGTGACCTGAAATCAAAGCTCTTGGTCCTAGCCTTCAAAAGAGACTACCCTGGAGGGTGTCATTAGAATCCTCCTTTAACCTCACAGGCTTCAAATCTGAGAAGAAGACATGGTGAAAAAGACCCCCACACACTGAGCAGGAGCTGTGTCACTCTTAGAAGCGAAAATTAGAGAACCATAATTAGCTGGCAGAGGGAAAAATACCTTTGGATTTAGATATCATAAATATGGCTAATTAAATATCATGATACATAAAAATATTCTGGGGAAATATTAAAGATTCTATTTCCCAGTGACAGTAATTTTCATAAATATTATTCATCTTTCTGTGTTAGTTCTACCTAGCATTAGCAGTTCTAACTCTGTTTATCACTTGGTTGTTGGGGTGAAGGTTGTCAGAATTTGTTACTACTGGGCTTTACGTCTGAAACGGTTTCTCATATAAGAAACGCAAACACGTATATTGGCTTGCATATGGTGATTGTGGCTGAAAGAAATGAACCAGTGACTAAAGGTCCCACTTTTACCTGGCTCTCCAAACACACTCCAGAGGAGTGGTTTAGACCAGGGGCTATTATTTAGTCTACACAGTCCCTGCTTTATAATTCAATGATTTAACTTTTTTTTCCAGATACCAGTTTATTGAATGAAAAAACCTAAATTTTCAAAATTAAAAATAAAGGAATGGCTTCATTTGTGAGAGTGATATTTTTTTAATATAGAAATTTCTTTATTTTATAAACATCTTGAAAGTCTTTCTGGGTACAGATATTTCACATTCAGTATTAGCTAATGAAATTTCAGCCCCTATCAAGTTAAAAAAAAATTACCTTCCTTGAAAGAAAGACAGCTAAGTTTAAGTATTATAAGAAGAGGAAAAATGGGTGAAAAGAGAAGGAAAGGAGAATGTTTTCTGTTTTAAACTACTGGTTTTGTTGGAAGAGAATAAACATACAGATTTACTCTGCCAATAAGCAGGGGAAAAAAAAAAAAGAGAATAAAAAATGCTGCTATAGTTCTGCTCCAATCCCTTTTGTGATCCCTGGCCTCTGTAAGACAGATGACACAAAACAGTACTTAAATCACGTGAGGATGCCAATCAGCATTCAATAAACCACGGTGTAACCAACCTTCAAAGCTGTGCAATAATTGTCTTCTCTTTTCAGCACAATATGTAGGCAGAAAACACACAAAAAGATTTGCTATGTGGTTTTTTAATTCCTGTAACTTAGAAATCAATTAACAAAAGCCCTTCCTAAAAACAAAACAAAATCCACCCAAACAAACTAGCCAAGCAAAACAAGATGGAATTTTACATCTCCCTAGCACCTGGAAACTAAGTATTAAGAACATGAATCTGAATACAGCATGCCAGCATTATTATAGAAACAGGACCAAAAAAAGAATAGTGAAGGTGTGCATAAAAGTAAAAAAGAAATGTACCCACTTCAGACCAATGTCCGTGTTTTTTGTTACTTTACTTTTTTTAAAGCAATCTCTCAATACTTTGGTTGGAAGACTAATTAACCTGACAGCAGGATTCAAGCTGAAATCAGCTCTTTACCCACTGTAATCATCAGGATCACAGTTTTTTCAGGGCCTATGGAAAGTAGCCCATGCAACTTAATTCAGTTCCTCTGTGCATAGGCATAATGACAGAGTCTTTAATTACATTCTTGAATAGTATTTTTCCAGCTGGAACCCTAGTGGATGAATGGCTTTTGGAGAAGGAAAGGAAGAAATTCTTGGCAGCAGAGCCTCTACCTTGGTGGCTGCAATAGGGAAGACACAGCAAATGCCACAGGGGACATTAGGAAAAGCTGATTTTGTGAATGGGGTGCAGGGTTCTCTTTCTTCCTACTCATGTGGTAGTGGCAACTGCCTTCAGCAAATTTGTCCCTAGGTGGCTGTAATTCTCCTCTGCATCTTTACACATACCTGCCTAAAATTATCAGTTGTCCTAGGGCATTTCTGTGGGCTAAACCCCTAGAATTAAGATGTATTCAGTCTAGCTACTGAATTAAGATGTATATTATGTGCAGGAGGCATGAGTCCCCTCTCATCAGCAGCTAAGCACTCACACCTTCAGTACTCTGTACTGAGAAATTAGTGGGTTTGCACAGAGTGGAAATCAGAAATTTCTACTAAAAATTGGATTATGAATATTTTTAAAAATATACTTTACTGTGATGAGGGTTAGAAATGGGTTACTACTTTTCCGTGATACCTAGCATTGCAATAGATACTCAAGATCTGATTCCTAACCTCGTCACTCCGTATTTGTGCCAGTGAGACAGCTGCAATGAAGTGTTACAAATAAATTTGTAGTGATGACAGTGGAGATCAGACCAAACCCCAATGTATGCATGTCAGTATGAAGAATATTTGCAGCTAGCCATCATGATACAATAGATTGCCCTTGGATCTAACACTGTTAATATATCAAAGCTGTGTGATTTAGAGGAGCACTTCTTTGCTTA